TGAGACAGAATTTATCTCACAGTTGGCAAAGATGGGTAGGGGACATAAAAGGGAAAAAGGAACATAACAAGGAAAGCTAAAGAAAACAGGAACTTGTTGAAAGATGTGAGCTTCACTTCAAAAACAGGGACAGAAATCATTTAATATTAATAAGACGGAGTGACAAAAAAAGGTGGGATAAACTTGAAAAATGACAATATTTCCTATACAAATAAATTTGTATAATCTAAGTGATGCAGAGTTAAATATAACTAATGAAATTCATTTTATAAGCTAAAAGAAAGTGGTAAAAAAGGCAGTGGCGATATTTTGTGTATTTAATTTTTTTTCCCTTTTAAGTCATAGTTATTCTCAAAACAGTCACTGTTTTAGCAAAAAATATATATATATAGTTCATGAGACACAAATTACATGCTTCTAAAATTGGCACTGTATATGGGGATCTATAACATATATGATATATGAAGGCTTCAGCTAATGCTCCAAACAGACAATTCTAAGTCTCACACTATGTGACCCTCTGCTTCCTGGATTAGGATAAAGTCAGCTAACATACTACTCTCAGAACAGTGATGTACAGTACAAGTCCCACATCACAGCTGGCTATGAAATGAGTATTAGCCCTGTCCTCAAAACCAGAGTTACAAAGGAGTTCCACCTCCTTTCTTCTTGAAAGGTCTGCATCACTGGTTTGCATTGAAAGGTAGTATTTCACTATCCTGGATACTTCCCAAATTTCAGAACTTTGATTTTGTTCAGACCACGTATTTATGCTTCTCTAAAGTTGTTTCAGTTTTATTACATAATTTTGGATGTATATGTTTAAAAATGGGGTTTTGTAACTTATTTTCCACAGGAGGAAGAGAAGATCATAATTAGAGTATAAGAATTTAAAACAATAATGCTCGAGCTGACTATGGGTGATATTTTTGATTTACTATGTTCTAGTCAGTGGAATTTCTTTTACAGATTTCATGAAAAACAAAAATGTAGTTAAAATGCAGCAGATATTAACTTAATGTTTTAAACAAATATTCCAGCTAGGTGATTAGGTAACATTTATTAATTACTTGCTATGTTTGAGCTCCTGGTGTCAATTTTTAGAATTACTATAATTTCAGAAACTCAGTTATGTTTTTTACAGGTATTGTTTTACTTGTTTTAAATTTTCAGCTCCAATTCCCATCCCCAAATTTAAAAAGGTGATATATATTTACTGACACTGTTATTCTACTGTCTCCATCAAAATATATGTAACCCTCTCTTTAACTCTGTCAAGTTACTTAAGTGGCACATGTATTTTAAAGTGCATTACTGAATTTTAAGGCTATGTTTATAATAGACATTAACACAAAACAAGAAGGCTGACCACAAGAAAAATTACTTTCAGTGGTTGGGACAGATTTCAGCTACAAATATGAAAAGATAAGCATGCAGTCCAACGTGAAGACTCACATTAAGGCAGATGCGCAACTTGCTAATAACATTAAAAAACAAAATGGCAGTTGGCATGATTTGTAAAAAAAATTTGTCCTTAATGAAGCATACCAATTAATCTTGTTTAGGCCACTAGCTCTTTCTATAATTATAAATTTAACAGGCAGCATAAAGTCTAATATTAAAAACAACTGCAATGTTTAACAAGGGAGAAGCTGGATGTACTTTAATTAGACAAAGCTCAGGAAGGGATGCTGATGCCAGAGTGAGCTTTTCAGCCCTCCTGTTTCTCTCCCTCTTTTGCGGTGAAGGAGTAGAAAAATGAGGTTGGGGAGACCGAGTCACCGGAGACCGGATGAGATTACAGTGGTTTGATGGTTATGGGAGTCAGGAGCCATATATTTGGGTGGTAGGATTGAATGATAAAGGCTCAGCTGGGGCTTTGAAACTCAAGAGAGTGGGTGCACAAGACAGGCACCACTGAATCCCGATCCCACAGCAGAGAAAGCACAATAAAAGATAACAGGTTGTGATCTAATTGGGTTTAATTATCTTTGATTGTTTTTCTGTCTCTTCTACTTTTAGGATAAATACCACCTATCAGAAAATCAAGGTGGTGGCCACAGGCTGTTGCTTGTACCAAAAGGTCTGATCCGTCTCCTCTCCATAGCTCTACATACAAAAGGTTTTAGGAGACTTCTGGGATTCATTGTAAAACGGATGTTTCATGTTATTCCGAATTTATAAGCATTCTAACAAACTACCAAACCTTACATATAATTAAATTATTTTTATGGAGAATTGTGGTCATTCATAATTGCCAACATATTGCTTCCTATTTATCACAATGGCATAATTAAGTTCCTTTGTGGTACAACATGCATGAACATGGATAGTGTTTTTAAAAACGTGACAAAGATGATCAGTTTAGCTATTTCCTTTAAATATCTCCAATATTAAAACGAGGCAATCCAAATATCAATGTAGCTTTTTCGCATTATCTTAGAGACATCTTGTTGCATCTTTTTTTATTGGAATAAGATGGATTTTCCTTTATAACTTTTGGCCACATATTTATTTGGCTAATCAAGCAGGGGGGAACTTATCCTGCAAAAAGATGCTTTTCTTTAAAACTTATGCACTCCTACATAATCTTTCTTTTTCTCCAAGAAAAAGATCTCAAATATAGTATCTCTATGATCTCATTCACTGAAAACACGTTAAAATTTTATTACAAATATCTTATAAAAACCAAATTTTAAAAGTCATGGAAATGTGTACATTAAGAGATAAAAATATATGTAAAAGATCTTCACTGATGCTTTGCAATAGAGAAGTAAAAACAATCTCAATGTCTATTTAATAGGGACTCATTAAGTAAATAGTCCCGCAATGGAATATGCAGTAATTTACAAAAGAATGAGGTAAATCTATTTAAACACTTATGGAAAGGTGTCTACCAATATATAATAAAATGAAAACTAGTCACAGAACATTAAGGCTACTGTTCTATTTGTATAAAACTAGTATACACGGACATATACAAACACACTAGAGTATTTGCAGAAGTTTCTGAAAGGACACATATCAAAACATTAACAGTGGTCACCCCTCAGGAAGAAGAGATGGGGTGGAGCAGATGAATCTGTATTTTATAATTCTATATGGTTTGATTTTTTTAAAGGAGTATATATTACATTTACAATAAAAAATGACAAGCTTTGGGGATAAAGCTATTTCTTTTATGTGTACCCTTCTTTTTCTACGGTAGCTTTTCGAATTTATCCCCAAAGTTACTACTATTGTTTTACTTTCAATGTTGGCACTAACATATAAATAATCCTCTCACTTTCTTCTCTCTTTGTAAGATCTTGATGACATTTAGTAAAAAAAAAAATTCACAAATTATTATCTTAAGTCACTATCAGGGAAAGCCCTAATATATACCAACTGTGAAAGAGAAAAATACATACATTAATTTAAAAAAATTTATGTAATAGAGAAATGAAAGTCCTGTGCAACACTGTGTACAGTATCTCAAGCATTGATGAGAGAGCTTTCACTGATAACAGACACCACTTCGTAACTGGAAAATTGGAACGTTTCTAAATAATATAAAAATATCTCCAAAAGATAAGTTATTCAAAGGAAGGAATAAAAATCCCTGAGTAGGCCAAAGACAAGAGATACAATAACCTAAGAAAATAGATTATCTAAGACCAGAGAGTATATTATTTAGCCAGTTGGTATATATGTATGTGGCAATTGTATTTATATGCAGCTGTGGAAATATATATGTGTGTATGCATATTTAAATATATATATACATACACATATCATAGATAAATATATTATCTACTAGATTTAGAATTCATCACATTCACATGTTGTCAAACTAACACCTAAGTCCAGAAAAAAGTGAATTTACAAAAATTATGCACTTTTATGACAGGATTACATGGATGTAGGCTAAAAATTTTCATTCTCCTGTTTTAAGACTAGAGCACATAGAATAGGCACTCAAAAATATTTACTGGATGGATGGATGAATGGAAAAATGGATTTGTTACACTAGAGCATCACTTTTTCTTGCACCATGTTATGCTTTAGAAATATGCCGTTGTAGAATCACAAATGGCACACCCTCTTCTAACAGAATAGAGACTAGTCCAGAAGCTTCGGTGTAGCTATTCTGAGTGTTATTCAGAAAGAATGGAAGCATGCTAGCTCCTTATTCATTCACTATCATGGACTTTGTAGGCCCAATAAAAATGATAAATGTTCTTATATTTGTTGGAACCCAACAAGACCAACTATCCATGTTAATGCATGTTTTACCACAGAATTTATTACAATTCATATAAGGCCTCTGACAAAAAAAAATGCTACATTTATGCAGATAATCTAATTTTAAGGATTTGGAGACAAATGGAAACTTCAGGGTTCTTAAGGATCTTCCATTCTGCTGATGAAGTTTCATGATGAAAACAAAGGAATAACATTGTTTAGCTACATGTCTTTTTCTTATTTTTAAAGACTTCTCAGCTTGGTAAAACTTGCTGAAATATTTCCTTTATTTTTTTTTGTTTCCTTCTCCAAAAGTTGTTTCTATTTTAGATAAACCCATAATCAAAAAAGGTTGTGTTTTCAAATCATCCTATTCATAAGAAAACATCAGCACATTATGCATTTGAGCAGTAAACATAAGAAAACCCTTCAAAACTAGTATTGTTTTTAAATGAAAATCTTGGGGACAAATAAAAAAGAGAGAGCAAGAAAGAAAAAAGAGGTAACAGGGTGGGGTTTTCAATATTATCACAACTTGACCTAAAGCAGAATTATCTGTAATTACAAATTGATTAAAAAATTAGCAGAACAACAATTTGTTTAAAGGCTTAAGCAGTTCTCTTTACAGCAAACTTGTTATTTAACGTAACTAATCCCCTCTGAAGGATCTGTTCATTTAGTAAAGCATCTATGACAAAACATAAGAAATCTGAAGAGACTGAACATTCTGGTCTTGAGAATTTCCTAAAAGCAGCCTACCAGTTTTGTCAGTTACAGTTTGATGATCCTCGAGGTGACACTGCACAAATTTCTGGTGTGTGTGCATGTGTGTGAGACAAAGAGAGAGAGAGCAAGGAATAGAAAGGGTCAACATCAAAGTAGCCTGTTGTCTACATTGACTTTAATTCAGTACATTCCCAAAATATGCCCATGAAGGAACGATTATCTTTAAATATGTCTATGAAAGTCTGGAAAAATAGTGTAGAAGCATGGAACTTGACAAGTACAAGGTTATTGGACCTAGTTTTAATACAGATACTTATTATACACACACATTCACACCCCCACACATATACACTTCAGCAACCCATGATTCTTCTCATTAGTTTCGTTTCATTCGTTCCCTCTTGGGCATTGAGATTTTTAACAATTATAGCATCTGAAGGATGAAGGAATTACATTGCTTGGGCCACAGATAAAAACAGGTACATATGGCAGACCATTATCTTCTGAAAAGTGGCCTTGCTTATTGGTACAGGTGGGATGACTTCCACTTTTCATACCAAGTCTCAGAAGAGGGCCTGGAAGGGGGGTCAGGTACAAAGACAGTCCAAACAGTGCTCGGGAGAGTCATGCTAAGACAATTCTGAGGATACGGTTCTTAATTAAAATATTTTCTTCCAAGAACCAGTAAGAAGGTCGGAGTTATGATACAGATATTTATAGTCTATGAAAGTGACCATTTTTTAACAGCAGCAAACTGTATAAGGAAAGGACAGGATACCATGTAGGGAGCGCACCGGAGCTAGAGGCACCGTGGCCTGTAGAGAGCCACGGGAAGACTGGACACAGTGTGTTTCAAGACGGGACTCTCAGACGGTGTGCCATCCTGTGTGGCTCCTACCCAGACCGGCATAGTTACAGGAAACCATTCTGCATTTTACCAGTGCATTCCTGTCCGTGATCGTTTTCTCTGTTTTTTACAAAGGCAATAGATAGGAAATACAAATAAACCTGAGGATAAAAAAACAAAAAGATTAAAGCTAATTAGGAGGAGGGGTATTAGGTTTATATATTTGAAATTTTTCTATTTTCAACTTTTCATTTTGCAGTCATTTACAAAAAAATCATTATTTAGCAATGCATGCAGATGAAAGCGAAGAGACACCCGTGCTATGAAATGCAATTACTTCTATAAGATTTCATTCTTTGTTATCTTTCCGCAGTCCTCTCCCCCTTTTAACAACCTCTGTGACACCGGTTTGAATATGGAATTATGTTTTCTATCAAAATGTTCAATCTCAGGCGTGTCTTCTTTACTATCCCTAGTCATATCATTTGCACATTGATATCACACTTCAGTTTCAGGCAGGATAGTGTATTACTTCAGAACATGGACTGTAGAGCCAAAGTGCCAGGTTGATTCCCAGTTCTACCGCATATGAGCTCCTAGTAAGTCTGCTTTCCTCAACTGTAAAATTCAAATAATAACAGTATCTATTTCATAAAGTCCTTCATAAATTGTAAGAGCTTAAATATCAGTTACTTTATAATTCTATGTGTCCTGTACATGTAAATTTACTTGCTAAATAGAACTTTCCATATGAAAATTTATTTTACTTAGAAAAAAAGAAACCCTACCTACTCTGTGGAATGGTTATCAAAGTTGTCTTTATTTACTGTGTCTAATTTAGTTTTAAATTTTTTTTAAGGTTTATTCATCTTTCAGAGACAGAGAGAGACAGAGTATGGGGGGAGGGGCAGAGGGAGAGGGAGACAAGGAATCTGAAGTAGGATCCAGGCTCTGAGCTGTCAGCACAGATACAGGGCTCGAACTTACAGACCGTTAGACCATGAGTTGAGCTCGAGTCAGATGCTTAACCAACGGAGCCACCCAGGTGCCCCTACAGTGTTTAATTTAAAATTCTCTACGGGCGCATGGTGGCTCAGCCAGTTAAGAGTTCGACTTCAGCTCAGGTCATGATATCACGGTTTGTGGCTCTGAATCCCACAAACCATTAGCAGTTGTAATCAGTACAACTCCGTGCTGATAGCTCTGAGCCTGGAGCCTGCTTTAAAATCTGTGTCTCCCCTTCTTCCTGCATCCTCCTCCACTACTGCTCTCTCTCTCCCTCCCTCTCTCTTAAAAATAAATAGATATCATTTTTTTTTAATTCTCTAAAGCAAGGGTTCTCAAAATGTGGTCCCTGCACTGGCAGCATCCACATCACTGGGAGCTACTGAGAAATAGAAATCTATGGGCCCTACCCCCATACTGAATCAGAAACTGAGGGTAGAAACCAGCAACTTGTGTTTTAACTAGCTTCGAGGTTATTCTAAAGCATGCTAGACTCTGAGAACCACTGCTTTAAAACACATATTTCCATATACTTGTAGGAATAAAACTAAAGAAATCACTCATACATTTTCTATTTGTCACTGCTGAAGTATATATTGGCTATATGTTCCTAAACACATTCAAGGTATCTTTTTTACCCAGTGTACCCTTTTACTAGAATAAATCAAACATGCAAGGCTATACCAGAACCTTTTTCCTTAATGCTTCTATCTAAACTCAGAACTGGAAAATCTGCGTTCTAGTCCACTGGACTCTTTCATTAAAATACTACAGAGTTAATACTAGCTGTATTAACTCTGGTATTAAGAGGAATTAATAATGTTTTATACGCTACATGAATCAAAGTCTTTATAGATGGAAAAAAGTGTCACATAAATGCATCCTATACGAAACACACCCCTCTGAATCTATAAATCCTATGCCAACTGCCTATCTAAAGCAAGCATGGAACAGGTATGTCTACTTAGTAACTGACTCATATTATTACATCTACACTCCTAATCTCTCTATAACACTCAGAAAATTCTTATCTCAGATATGTTAAGTGTTTCTTACCGATTACAACCGCTATGGCCCCTAGTGCTAATCCCAAGACCAGGATTAGAGGTGCAACGAATAATTTTCCAGCTGGAAAACAAAAGGCAAAACCATTTAGAGTCTTAAAGCTAATTTATCAAACAATTTCAGCAATGCTTTTGAATACCACAGTGTATGTGGTTTTTAAAGAAGTCTCATTATAATGAAGGCAATATTTCTCTAAGGAAATGTATCAGGTGTAGAGCAAATATACTTATGTAAATTCAATAACTTCAGAGAAGTCCTAGGTGCATTAGTCAAACATCTCCTAAATCATTTAAACTTTATTACCAAAAAAAAAAAAAAAAAACAAACCCTTCAAAGTTACTGGCTCACTTTATTCTAGCAGGGACATTCATCTTTGTGCTTTCCCTTTAGATCTCTTTCATTTTCATTTTTCAAGATTCTGAAAGATTAACAAAGGAGTGACACATTCTGAGTTGGCAGGAGAAAATCTAATTAGCTCACAAAATGGAGAGGTAGTAGGTGCTACAGAGGGCTTACATCCAAGCCCACATCTGAAAACATGATTTACTTACTTACTGGGTCCAAAGAAAACTAATAATATGAACACCTAATGGACAGAACTACAATTGGGATGTTTAAATATTATTAGAGAAAATTAACCAATAAGTATACACTATATTGAAGGTTATTCAAATGAATCATTTTAATAAAATCAGAGAACAACCTGATGACTGCCAGAGGGGAGAGGGGAAGTGAAATAGGCAAAATGGGTGAAGGGAAGAGGGCAGTATAGGCTTCCTATTATGGGACAAACTAAGTCACCAAAATAAAAGGCACAGCATAGGGAATACAGTCAACAGCACTGTAATAGTGTATGGTACATTGGAAGTAAGCACAGTATAAGGTACAGAAAGCTGAATCACTATGTTTCACATCTGAAACTAATGTAACATGGCATGTCAACTATAGTAAAAAAATGTAAAGAAATAAATTGGAAGGTCTGAATTGGTCTCATGGAAAAAACAGAATAAAATGTGAGAAAAAAGCACTTATAAGAAGGCTAAACTTGGTCAGGCTACCAAACAATGGTATCAATCAGAACTTTTTTTCTAAATAAATACCTCAGTAGTGATTCTAATAAGGGCTAGTTTCATGTAAATGGGTCACAGACTGCACAGTCAGAATTCTGCTAACTTGGAAAGGCGCACAAAAAAGAGGCTAGGAGTTCATATCTTGTCGTTATATAGTAACCTTGATCTTAAGGCATGTGACACAGCAGTGCAGCTGCATGATTCAAACAGGACAAGAAATGAGGAAGGAATGGAGGCATTTTGCCATTTATGAATAAACCCACAACATTACAAATTCAGGACAGTAACTTAGAATAACCAATTACATAAAAAAAAAAAATAGAAACACAATGCAGCTGTTTTCTGAAGTTTGTCAGAAAAATATTAACCTTTTTATGTATAAAGAATGGTTCTTGGAGCCATGACCAGAAAGACAGAAAATACAGTCTTTAATGTCTAATTTAAAAAGATTGCCATTTAATTGACACATGTTTAGCCATAGGTTTTACTTCTAAATTTCACCAATGACAGAATCCAATAAAGTAATATGAAATCTCATTGAACAATTTTCACATTCTTAAAGCTATACTGAAGAGTTTTGAATATGTTGGCCTGCATATTTTATTTTATTAAGAAATTTCTTTTTTTAAATTTACTTTTATTTATTTTGAGAGAGAGATAGAGGGAGAGGCAGAAGGAGAGGGAGACAGAATCCCAAGCAGGCCCTGAGCTGTTAGCACAGAGCCAAATGTGGGGCTCATTATGACCTGAGCGGAAGTTAAGAGTTGGACACTTAACCAGCTAAGCCATCCAGACACGCCTGGCCTGCTTTTATTTTATTATTTTATTTTATTTTATTTTATTTTATTTTATATTTTTAAAATGTTTTTAAAGGTTTATTTTGAAGGAGAGAGAGAGATAGAGTGTGAGCAGGGGAGGGAGACACAGAATCTGAAGCAGGCCCTAGGCTCTGAACTGTTAGCCCTAAGCCCGATTGCGGGGCTCAAACCCGCAAACTGTGAGATTATGACCTGAGCCGAAGTCAGACACTTAACCAACTGAGACACCCAGGCGCCCCTGGCCTGAATATTTTAAAAGAATCTTTTTTTTTTCCCTCTGTACCCATAGCTCAGTGTACCCTTTCATGTTTCCTTTTAAAATAATTAACATATTTTCATAATAACAATGAAACATGATTGCAAAGTAACAGCACTGATTTCTGCCCCCGAACATCACAGAACTCAATGAACAAATGTACTCTTTCTCTGGAAAGTAATAAACTAATTTCATGCAGTCAATGCTCAATACATGTTTAATTTTACTTTTGAGGAATTAAGCACTTACACTCTTATTCCTAGATTATTTCACTTAAAATACATCCTTGGGGCACCTAGGTGGCTCATCAATTGAGCGTCTGCAACTTGGTTCTGGCTCAGGTTATGATTTCATGGTTTTGCTGGTTTGGGCCCTACTCTCTTCTCTCTCTGCCCATCTCCTACTTGTGCTGTCTCTGCCTCCCAGAATAAATAAAATAAACTTTAAAAAAACTTAAAAAATACATCCTCAATAGGTGAAATATATTCTATTATATCTATATATCATACCTTATGGTTATGTAGGGGCACCTCGGTGGCTCAGTCAGTTAAGCATCAGACAGACTCTTTATTTCAGCTCAGGTCATGATCTCAGTGTCCTGAGATTAAGCACCATGTCAGGCTCCACACTGAGTGTGAAGCTGACTTAGGATTTTCTCTCCCTCTCCCTTTCCCTCTCTCCCTCCCCTCCATTCCTACACCCCTCATGTGCTCGCTCGCTCTCTCTCTTTCTCTCAAAGAAAAATTGTGTACTTAATTTTTGTTCTTTTTTTGTTATTTTAAAATATACCTGCAAATAAACCACTGTCAGCCTAGATTTATAATATTTTAAAATGTCCTTCACATTTTTTTTTGCAAAAGAATTGCACAGAATTTCTAATGCGTTCAGTAGAATATGAAAGTCCAGCACTGAGGAGTGCCTGGGTGGTTCAGTCGGTTAAGCACCTGACTCATGATTTCAGCTTAGGTCATGATTTTGCAGTTCGTGGGTTTGAGCCTCGAATTGGCACAACAGTGTGGAGCCTGCTTGGGATGCTCTTTCTCTCCCCCTACCCCACGGGCTCGCGTGCTCTCTGTGTCTCTCTCTCGTTTTCTCAAAAATAAATAAACTTAAAAAAAAGAAAGTCCACCATTCAGTATTAACAAAAAAACTTGCTAATCCATACTTCAAAAAAACTCTTTAATTTACACTTCTAATAACATTGGACTTTCTCTTTTCTTTTCCTTTCTGAGAAAGAGAGAGAGAGATAAGAGTAAGAGTGTGGGAGGGGCAGAGAGAAGGGGAGACACAGAATCTGAAGCAGGCTCCAGGCTCTGTGCTGGAGAGCCTATTGAGGGGCTGGAACTCATGAACTGCAGTGTAATGACCTAAGTCAAAGTCAGCTGCTTAACTGACTGAACCATCGAGGCACCCCACAGCATTGGATATTTTTAAAATTGTTTATTGGCTACTTGCATTTCCTCAATTCTGGTTCCAGACTTTTCAGGTTCATCTTTTTTTAAAAATTGGATACTTATTTCTGGAGGAGGCTCTTTTGCTTTTGTTTATATAAATTATTTGCCATCTAAGCCTGTCATTCAAAATAGAAGGAGAGATAAAAACCTTTCCAAATAAACAGAAATTGAAAGAATTTGTCACCACGAAGCCAGCCCTACAAGAAATCCTGAGGGGGATGCTCTGAAGGAAAGGTTGCAAGGAACAAAGATACCAGAGACACCACCACAAACATGAACCCTACAAAAGATACAAAGACTCTAAACCCACATATTTCAATAATAACACTGAATGTAAATGGGCTGAATGCTCCAATCAAAAGACATAGGGTAGCAGAATGGATTAAAAAACAAAATCCATCAATATGCTGTCTACAAGAAACTCATTTTAGACGGGAAGATACCTTCAGATTAAAAGTAAGGGGATGGAGAAATATATATCATGCTACAGGAAATCAAAAGAAAGCCGGAGTAGCGATACTTATATCAGACAAACTGGACTTTAAATTAAAGACAATCACAAGAGATGAAGAAGGGCACTACATAATAATTACAGGGTCCATCCATCAGGAAGAACTAACAATCATAAATGTCTACGCACCGAATATGGGAGCACCTAAATATCTAAAACAATTAATCACAAACAGAAACAAGCTTATAGATAAGAATGTGCTAATAGCAGGGGACTTTAATACTCCGCTTACAGCAATGGATAGGTCAACCAGACAGAAAATCACTAAAGAAATAATGGACTTGAAAGACACATTGGACCAGATGGATCTGACGGATATATTTAGAACTTTACATCCTGAGGCCAGGGAATTTACTTTCTTCTCAAGTGCGCATGGCACATTCTCCAAGATAGATCACATACTGGGACATAAAGCAGCCCTCAATAAATATAAAAGAATAGAGATCATACCATGCACACTGTCAGATCACAATGCTTTGAAACTTGAAATCAATTACAGGAAGAAGTCTGGAAAACCGCCAAAAACATGGAGGTTAAAGAACACCCTTCTAAAGAATGAATGGGCCAATCAGGCAATTAGAGAGGAAATTAAAAAATATATGGAAACAAATGAAAATGAAAACACAACAATTCAAAATCTATGGGATGCGGCCAAGGCAGTCCTAAGAGGAAAGTACATTGCTCTCCAGGCCTATTTCAAGAGATTAGAAAAAGCACAAGTCCAAAATCTAACAGCTCACCTAAAGGAGCTAGAGGCAGAGCAACAAGAACGCCCTAAACCCAGTAGAAGAAGAGAAATAGTAAAAATTAGAGCAGAAATAAACAACATAGAGACCAAAGAAACAATTGAACAGATCAATGAAACCAAGAGTTGGTTTTTTGAAAAAGTAAACAAAATTGACAAACCTCTAGCCAGGCTTATCAAAAAGAAAAGAGAGAGCACCCAAATAGACA